GAGTATCTTTTTAGTTGAAATCAAGATTGACTCCAAAGTGCACATGCACAAACACACACACACACACACACACACACACAAGCCGTAAATATTTTAAAATATTTCTTAACCATATTTCATCCGATGAAATCATTGGGGTAAAAACGCACAGGCCAGTTAATTTTTGTTTTTGTTTTAAATCACATTTCTAAAACCATTTTGGCTTGTGGCAGGCCCCTTCTTATAATGGCTGACGTTTATTGGTTAACGATGGAAATGAGCTGCTTTTATAAAAGAGTTTGAAATAGAGAATGAGGGTCTCACGCATCTCTACGGTGATAAATATTAAATTTTCTCAAGGAGCCTCGGTTCTTGAAGCTACTTGAATGGTTGTGAGATTTTCTGGGAACTGTTACACAGAATGGTGCTGTAGTGTAAAGGGATCGAGAGAAGGATGGATTTAGGTCATTTACCAAAGGTACTTGAAATCGAAATCTATAAACAGGAATTTCTCAAATGGCCATCACGTTGATCCATCCTTGCCTGAGTTTTAAACACTGACATTTATTGAGTTTCTGATTCTTTTGTACGTTATGTATATTTTAAATTTAGATTGTGTTTGTTATCCATACTTAGTTTAGGTTTTCGCTATTTATATTACATTAGTCTCTCTTTTTTAATCTTTTTTTTAACCCTGAGGTCTTTCCAGCACAACAAACTTGTTAAGTTATACTGTAAAACCCAGCACTTTGATTTCCTTTGAAATGCAAGGTAATTTTCAGATTTTTTTAAAAAAGGCAACTGAAAACTTATCACTGTAATTAAACCCTTCTGAAAAACCTGCCGTGGAAGGGAGAAACGTCTCTTGGACCGAGTGAATCTATTCTGAAAATGTTGCGATACAGATAGTCCTCGACTTACGATTTGCTTAGTGAGCGATCGAAATTAAAAACGGCCCTGAAAAAAGGGACTTCTAACCATTCACACTTACGGCTGTTGAAGCATCCCCATCGTCCTGTGATCACAGTTGGGCAACTGATTCGTATTTATGACAGTTGCAGTGTCCCGAAAGTCATGTGATCAACTTTGGATACCTTTTGCTAAGCAAAGTCGATGGGGAAGCCAGATCCACTTAACAACGGTGACCCCCCAAAAATAAAATCCCATAAAACGGGGCAAAACTCATTTAACAACTGCCTCGTTTAGCAACAGAAATTTCGGCCTCGATTGTGGTTGTGAGTCAAGGACTACCAGAACTTTAGAAGAAAATGGGACTTGCAAATGGAAGACTCCTTGAAAACAGTGGCACAACGTGTGAATGCAAACAGGATTGCTCCTGAGCAAACAGCCCCAGTTTCCCAAACTTACGAGATTCCCCCACCCTCCTCTTAACTTGTTCCTTGATCTTGCCCTTTTGTAGGAATTGTGTCAAATTTGTGCTTTTGGAAAGTAGCTGGTTCCTGTAGCGGATTGCCTTTTTCATATGCATGGGCGGCTTTAAAAGGATTGTACTACGGTAATCATCTTTTAGTGTAATGGGAAGATGCTTTGCAAATAAAAGAGCGATGAAATGGTCATTTCTGTCCAAGGGTTTTAACATTTCTGTGTTCTACTAGACACGCACACACAGACACAGACACAGACACATACACAGAGTTCAGAGGTCTTATCTAAATAGAGAAACAGAACAACCAAAAGTGGCCGGGGGGGGGGGGGGGGGAACCAATGGGGATTGTAGCGATTTCTGACTTTTGCCAGCTGCCCCATTCCTTGTGCTGGGGGATTCAGAATTCCTTCCTTCCCACCTTCCCTCTCTCCCCTTTCTTTCCTTCTCTCTCTCCTTCTCTTCCTCCCTCCCTCCTTCTCATCTCCTCTCCCTCCCTCCCTCTCTCCTATTTCCCCCCCTTCTCTCTTCTTCCCTCCTCCCCTCCCCTCTTCATTCCTTCTCATCTTCTCTTCCTCATTCCTTGTCATCTTCCCTTCCTCCTCTTCTCTCTTCCTCCCCTTTCTCATCTCTACTTCCCTCTTCCTCCTTCCTCTTCTCATCTCTTCCTCCCACCTTCTCATTCCTTCTCATCTTTTTTGTTCTATTTGATTTGTCAATCGCTTACATGATAATAAGTATAAACATGAGTAAGCCCCTCTTCTCTTCCTCCCCCTTCTCTTCTCTCCTGCTTCCTCTTCTCTTCCTCCTTCTCATCTTTCCTCCCTCTTCTCTTCCCTCTTCTTCATTCCTTCTCATCTTCCCTTCCTCCCCCTTCTCTTCTCCTTTCTCTTCCTCCCCCTTCTCATCTCTCTTCCTTCCTCTTCTCATCTCTTCCTCCTCTTTCTCATCCCTTCTCATCTTTATTTATTTGATTTGTTGATTGCTTATAAGATAATAAGTATAAGTATAAACATGAGTAAGTCCCCCTTCTCTCTTCTCTTCCTCCCCGTTCTCACTTCTTCCCTCCTCTTCCTCCTTCCTCTTCTCATCTCTTCCTCCCTCCCTCCTTCTCTTCCTCATTCCTTCTCATCTTCCCTCCCTCCACCCTTCTCCCGCTTCCTCTTCTTTTCTTTCTCCTCATCTCTTTTCTCCCCTTCTTCTCTCTTCTCCTCTCCTTCTCTTCCTCCTCTCCTCTCTCCTCCCTTCCTCCTGAACATCATATGCACCAAGGGTAATGGAGCACTATCAAAGGTAGGCAGTTTGGTTCAGCCTTCTGCAGCCAGCGACTGGACGTATCCTCGCAGCAAGGACACAGGAGCAAGGCGTTGCAATTCCCGAAGGACCGCTCTGCATAAGTAAACGGGAACCCAAACCCTCCGTTGTAATGACGGGGGGTTGAAGAGTTTTAAGGTTGCTGATCAGCTTTTCTGGGGTTAAGGTTGCCTGTGATGAGAGCCTTGGGCGCGTATTAAAATCCATACATGCTGTTTAAACTTTGTTTAGGTTTGCCTGAATTCCTCCTGTACCTTTAAGGTTTTAAGGGCAATAAATCCCTGTAAATAAAATAGTAAAAAACAAACAAACCAACAACTTGGAATCATCAAAGTCACAAATCAAAGGGAGGCGGGACTGGAAATGACATCATTATTTGCATTCTACCATGTGTTTTGCAGTTCCGGGCCGCTCTAGGCATCGCGGCTCAGTTGGTTTAACCCTTGGAGCCCCGTTGCGGACTGTATAAAAGTGTCTTCGGCTTAGGAAGCGCTCGTGTGTCCTTTTCTCATCTGTGACTCTGAGCAAGTGCAGAGTTCTCCTTTCCCTGGAGAAACCTCGGGGGATTTGAATGAGCAGGAAACTCCCAGATTGGAGACAGGAGCGCTGCTCAGAAGAAGCAGAGCGGTTCAGCTGTGCTTTCAGCCTCGCAGTGTCAAGGACATACTCTGCACATGTTCAGAGATCCTGGTTGCCCTTGCTGCTTTATCCGGAGACTAGGAAGCTGCAGTGGTCTCGGTGTGCAGAGACTCAAAGCATGCAGCTATGTAGTCATATTCTAAATATTTTTTTAAAAAAACGTTCTCCTAGGTTCACCTTTCCCGATGTGTTAGGCTAGAGCAGTTACCCCCACCCCAATTTAGGCAACTTTAAGCCATTTAATCAGAGTTGGAAGGGACCTTATAGGTCATCTAGTCCACCCACCACCACCATCCCACCCAAGCAGGAGACCCTACACCATTTCTGACAAATGGCAGTCCAATCTCTTCTTGAAAGTCTCAAGTGATGAAGCTCACACAACTTCTGAAGGCAAAGCTGTTCCATTGGTTGATTGTTCTCACTGTCAGAAAAGTTTTTCCTTATTTCCAGGTTGAATCTCTCTCCTTGTTCAGTTTCCATCCATTATTCCTTGTCTGGCCTTCAGGTGCTTTAGAAAATAGCTTGACCCCCTTCTTCTCTGTGGCAGCCCCTCAAATATTGGAAGACCGCTATCATGTCTCCCCTGGTCTTCTCTTCACTAGACTAGCCAGGCCCAGTTCCTGTAACCGTTCTTCATATGTTTTAGCCTCCAGTCCCCTAATCATCCTTCTTGCTCTTCTCTGCACTTTTTCTAGAGTCTCAACATCTTTTTTATAGTGTAGTTTTATAATGTGGTGACCAAAACTGGATGCAGTACTCTAGGTGTAGTCTGACTAAGGGACTGGAGGCTAACACACACAACGAATGGTTGCATGATAGCAGCCTTCCAATATTTGAGGGGCTGCCACAGGGAGGAAGGGGTCAAGCTATTTTCCAAAGCACCTGAAGGCCAGACAAGGAATAATGGATGGAAACTGAACAAGGAGAGATTCAACCTGGAAATAAGGAGAAACTTTTCTGACAGTGAGAACAATCAACCAATGGAACAGCTTTGCCTTCAGAAGTTGTGGGAGCTTCATCACTTGAGACCTTCAAGAGGAGATTGGACTGCCATTTGTCAGAAATGGTGTAGGGTCTCCTGCTTGGGCAGGTGGGGGTTGGACTAGATGACCTACAAGGTCCCTTCCAACTCTTGATTATCTGTAAAAGTGGCCAAGATTGGGGAAACCCTGAATTAGAAGGTCTTCCTACTGAGATTGATCCCTACTGAGAGATGCTCGGGGAATTATAAAAGCTCTTCTGGGGGAATCCTCTTCTCCGGCTATGCTAGAAATCCCAGGAGCCTCATTGTGTAGGCCTCTGTTGTCCCCAGGCCTTGTGTGGCCTTGTCGTCCTTGCCATCATCTGCCCCCTTTTTTTAAAAAAGAAAAGGATCCCAATTGAAATGTTCTCCGCGCGCACCCCAAACAGGAGGCCACATAGCTGTCCCGTCCTGGGGCACGGTTCGCTCCCTCCATGCTCCTTCTAAAAGCCCACTAAAGGGTTACACCGCAGCCACTCCTACTTCCTAGAGAGGCTGGAGTAACCTTGGGGTTGGAGGATGGGTGGGCATATGGATTCGGCAAGGCCTCTTCCTGCGCCCAAACACCCTGCCTTGGAGGAAACTATCAGAACAAGAGGCAACAGAAACACCCCTCCCTTCTCACCTACACCGGGGTGGTGGTGGGGTGGGAACTCATAGATCGTGGGGACGGAGCATTAATGCACAGGTGAGAATCACGCTGGGTGCAAAATTGGGACGTCAAAAAGGGTTTTGCCAGAGTCCAGTCTCTGCTCACTTGTGGTCCTGGCGCTCTCTTGCACTTTCCCCCTTTGTGCGTTCCTTAGCTACATTTTCAATTTGCAATTTGTTGTGGAAGCTTAAGTTTCTCTTCCGGGGGAACCTTTTATTTTCCATTTTCTTCTTGATTCCACTTTTTTAAAAAAACAAACAAACAAACCACCAGGATTTTCTTCCTTCCTGCTGCAATAGGCTGAGCTGCCTGCCCTTTTAGAAATCTCTTTTTATAAAGCTTTGCTGCCCTTTTAGAATCTCTTTGCTGCAATGAATTTGGATGCTGTGTGAAGACCACAGCACGGGGAACTTGAAATACTTTTTGTAACTTCCCCTCCTTATACTAGACACCTTAGTTGCAGCGGGGTAAGCTAACCATGCTTCAAGAATTTGTTTCTAGCATTGGAAAAGCGGAGGTTTATATAGCTACACACCCAAATAAATCTACAAGAAAAAGAATTGACAGTATATGCGTAATTTTGCATTTATTCATTTATTTTGTCGTGTTTGTGTAGTGTATATCGGAGGTGGTGACCCTTTGTGAGCTGTATGCAACAAAATTTCATTTTAATGTAGGCCGATGAGTGTGCATTTAAAGTAACAATAAAGTTAGTCTATTATTAAGTCTGCCAAGGTGTGGTAGAATTGCGGAACCTACAAATATTATGTTTTACAGGATGCCTTTTAGGCCCTGATTTATTTATTTTAGAAATATTGCAATCCACGTTTTCTCCTATTAGAAACAATCCCAATATGAAGTAAAATTAATTTTTTGAAAATGTTAATGGTTTACCTCTAAAAATACCTTTAAAATCTTTGGTAGTTTAAATTAAAAAAAAAAAAACTTTAAAGGGACCAAAATCTTAAATCGAAGAGCTTGAGCAGGAAGGGTTATATCTGTTTTTCAAGACGTTCTAATTGTTGGACTCAAGACGAGACTCTGATTTAAAAGAGTTGTTCCTTTTGGATCTGACCTATTCTGCAGGATTGTTTTGGGGAAAAAGCAGCTGAGAAGGGACACAGTATTGGTCATCCTGAAATTCTGGAGGAATCAAGAAGGTAACTTTTAAATATTTCACGCTAACATTTTACATTCCTTGGTTCATTTACTTGGGAGCAAATCCCATTTAATTCATTGTTGGGACTGTAAATGCATAGATTACATCTGTCATGTTGGAGACTGACTCCAAGGGAGTGGAGGTGTGGCTCCGGAGGTTGTGGAGGAGGCTGGGGAAGGGCAGAAGCCGGCTGGGCGGTCAGAGGAAGACCCAGGCTCATCCCTTCTCCATCCTAGGACACGCAGGGAGGAGAGGATAAGGGAGAGACGGGAATGGCGTGGTCTACTGGGGAAGAGAGGGCCTTGATCCTCTTCATGGGCTGCAGCTGTGAGAACTGGTTAAAAGGACCGGCGTGCGTATGGGCCAGTGCTGGAAACAAAGCATGGAAATATCTCCAGTTTATGGTTCCTCTCTGAGTTTGCCATCCTTCCCAGCATGTGTTCCGATATCTGTGAACATCTTCAAGCCCTTATCTTGCCTGGTTCCCTTAATTGTTTCAGTGTGGTTTGTGTTGTTTTTACTCTTTATAATTTATAAGCATTTTTAGTTTAAACGGCATTTCCTCCTTTCCGTAATTGTTTGTGGGGTAGTTTTTTTTGCCTCCAGTCAAGGATATTTGGAGCTTTGAAGCAAAGTGAAGGAATAAAAGGGGTTTCATCTATTTTTGGGACTTTGTTTATTTTGTATTCCACCCTGGGTCATCCCAACATCAGAAAGATAGTTCTTTCCATAAGATTTTGCAGTCAAATAAACAAGGGAAAAAGAGAAGGAAAAAGAAAAATACAGATAGTCCTCAACTTACAGTCATTTGTTTAGTGACAGTTACAAGTTACAAATGGTACTGGAAAAAGTGACTTATCACAATTTTTCACACTTATGGCTGTTGCAACATCCCATCGCCAGATTCAGATGCTTAGCAACTGACTCACATTTATGACAGTTATAGTATCCCAGGATTATGTGTTTTCCTTTTGTGACCTTCCATGGGGAAGCCAGATTCCCTTAACAGCCATATTATTAATGACTGCATTGATTCACTTAAAAACTGCGGCAAGAAAGGTTGCAAAATGGGGCAAAGCTCACTCAGGTCTTGTTTAGGAACACAAATGTTGTGCGCAATTGTGGTTGTAAATTGAGCATAATGCCATGTTAAGCCAGGGAGCACCACCACCATTTTTTTTTAAATAAATAAACAAACAACGATAGTTCTGCTGGTTGAAGACAAAAGAAATCTAACATAACGTTGTTGAATACTATGTTGATTAGAAGCTGGTGAAATTATCCAAAAAGTTTGCATGCTGTTGAATTTTCCTGAACCGAGAAAAAAATAGTGCTACAGTTCACCCAGCTCATGTGAGGTGGGCGGCTAGATAAATTTGATTAATAAGTACTTAAAATATCTGGGGATGGTCAGAGTTTTATTCCAACATTTTAATATATGTTCTCTCTTTTAGAATCAGCTGTCCGTTCCTTCAAGGAAGAAAATTCACTCTGCTGACCAGAAATGTTCCTGGCCCCTTCCTTGAGTGACTTCTTTCTTTTCATTTTCTTTTTTTAACTGAAATCTTTCAACGTTTGTGGGCCTCACCAGAAGATCCATCTGGTTCCTCCTTTGTAAACGTTTATCTTTATTTTTAAAGCTACCTTTCAAAGAAGAGGCTGCAATTGTTTGTGAGCTTGTTTGGCTTGGAGATCCTCCTCATTGCAGCTTTGAAAAGCTCCCGTCAGCCTCTTTCCTCCACGGAGAAAGGTAGATGTTGCCTTCTGTGAAACGTTAGCCGCAAAAATGGCTACGGAACTGAGGCCCGGAGGAGCCGCTTTCCTCTCCTTCCAGAATGTTCTGGGGCACGGCGTGAACCCTGCAAGGAAGTCCGAGGAGGAAGCCCAAGTGAGGTCCTTAGAAGCTGACGGGGAACGGATGGTCCCTCGAGTCATCCAGGTTGGGAGCATAGGAGAATTTCTAGGCTGGGTGGCTCCCCAAGAGATGGTCCAAGGATCAGAAGAAGGTTTGGCTCAACGCTGGGAGACCCAGTGGCAGGAAGTCTTGAAGACGGTCCAGCTTCTCCCTCCTGGGTTTGGGACTTCACACCAGTCAAACTCCTGCGAGTTACTCCCCAACATCAACCAGGGCTTGAATGGAGACAGCAGCGTTCCTCAGTTCTTGGTAGTCAACAACGGAGAGTTTCCTCCTCGGATCCTTTATGGTCCGGAGGTTGAAGGAAACAGCCTGATGAAGGATGTACTTGTGGACCAAGGGGCTCTTTTGACCGAGGCTCTGCGCCAACGTTTTAGGCAGTACAGTTACCAGGAAGCTGAAGAACCTGAAGAGGTTTGCAAGAGACTCCAGGAATTTTGCCATCAGTGGCTGATGCCAGAGAAGCACTCCAAAGAGCAGATCTTGGAGCTGGTAATCCTAGAGCAGTTCTTGGCTATCCTACCTCCGGAGATGCAGTGCTGGGTCAGGGACCGTTGTCCTCAAGCTTGTTCCCAGGCAGTGAGTCTCGCAGAGGAGTTCCTCAGGAGTCAGAAACAAGAGATTAAGGTAACACTGTTGAGGTAATTCCCCGTTAGGAGAATGAGCGCGTACAGGGAGACGTATTTGAGAGTAGTCTTTGAATAATACACACACAGCACACAGATACACTGTACAGTAAATGTAGGTTTTACTTCCAGAAAGGTTTAAACAAAGTTCAAAACAAGCAGTCCAAAGTCATTCAGAGGTTAAATCAGTCAGTTTTCAGTCCAGGGATAATCCAGTAACAAAGTCCAGTGTCAAAAACAGTTCGGTATCAGACTTACATCAAATCCATGAATATCAGTCAGTTAGGAAAAAAGGAGGAACAGCAATACTTTCCAACTGAAGGAAAAAGAGATACTCACTGAGATGCACTCTCTTCTGAGACGAAGACTAAACAACCCAGGTTTCTGGCTCCATCTTATGGCCATTTGAGAAACCACACCTAATTACAGTTTTGCATTTTCTTAAAGATATCCTGGTCTATCCTGGTTTATATATTGTCCAACCCAAATGGCTGCTAGGTGACTCATATTCCTAAGAAACCCTGGCCTACAAATTTGGGGAAATTGTCGACCTCTGAGATAAAATGTGTTAATTTGACATATTTGGATTAGATGAATTGAGAAAACAGGTGATAAAGGAACTGGTTGGCTAAAATTTTCAAGATATTTCCCAGTGAAGATTTATACACAGGCGAGTATATTTGCCTACGAGGGAGAGAGGTATCCCATGATCATTAGATTAGATTAACAGAGTTGGAAGGACCCCACACCTTTTTTCTTTTTACTTTTTTTTTTGAATATATTTTTTATTGTTTGCAACTGTAAATATACAAAGGTGCTGCTGTTTTGGCATTACATATACCCAGGGGTGGGATTCTACCAGTTTGCACCTATTTGCTAGAACAGGTTGTTAACATGCTAAGCAGTTCGGAGAACCGGTTGTTGGAAGAAATTACTGGCCTAATCCTGTAAGGATGGCAGGAAGGAAACATTCTGGTGTTGCTTACAGAATCTGCCTCTCCGTTAACTCTTATTACATTCTTGGCAGGACTAGACTTCCTGTCTCTGGAACTTCTTTGGAGTTTTTTTTCCCTCCTTCGCTGGTACTTTGCTTGTGTGGAGTGACCATTCAAAGTTATAATGGCACTGAAAAAAGTGACTTATGACCATTTTTCACACTTACGACTGTTGCAGCATCTCCACAGTCATGAGAGGCCAGGCGAGGAGATGCGTGCCTTGATGGGAGTGATATTGAGTTGGCCACACCCAGCCAGTCACATGACCACCAAGCCACGTCCACTCAGTCACATGACCACCAAGCCACGCCCACCAATTAAGCCACGCCCACAGAACCGGTCGTTAAAAAATTTGAATCCCACCCCTGCATATACCATACATACAAAAATATTGCTAAACCATTAACTTTCCTATTATTCATACAGTATTTGCTTTAGTTTCTATTCATTGCGTCTTCTTGTTTTGTATCCACTGATAAAACTTATTCCAAGTTTCATAGTAAGCTGATTCCCCTTTATTCTTCAATTCTAAGGTTAAGCTCTCCAATTTTGCACAAGACATTATTTTCTTTATTATTTCTTTTTCTGGGAGACCCCACATCATTTCTGACAGATGGCCATTTAGTCTCTTCTTGAAAGCCTCCAGTGATGAAGCTCCCACAACTTCTGAAGGCAAAGCTGTTCCATTGGTGGATTGTTCTCACTGTCAGAAAGTTTCTCCTTATTTCCAGGTTGAACCTCTCCTTGTTCAGTTTCCATCCATTATTCTTTGTCTGGCCTTCGGGGACTTTAGAAAATAGCTTGACCCCTTCCTCCTCTCTGTGGCAGCCCCTCAAATATTGGAAGACAGCTATCGTGTCTCCCCTGGTCCTTCTCTTCACTAGACTAGCCAGGCCCAGTTCCTGCAACCGTTCTTTGTAAGTTAGCATCTGATGATTCTTGGATGCACCGTCTATTCCCTCATCAGTTGCTTAACATTTGTTTAACAGTTGCTTGCACTTTTCAGATAATCAGAGTTGGAAGGGACCTTCTAGGTCATCTAGTCCAACTCCCCGCCTAAGCAGGAGACCTACACCATATCTGACGGATGGGAGCCCAATCTCTTCTTGAAAGTCTCAAGTAATGGCTCTCCCACAACTTCCGAAGGCAAAGCTGTTCCATTGGTTGATTGTTCAGAAAGTTTCTCCTTATTTCCAGGTTGAACCTTTCCTTGTTCAGTTTCCATCCATTATTCCTTGTCTGGCCTTCGGGTGCTTTAGAAAATAGCTTGACCCCCTTCCTCCCTGTGGCAGCCCCTCAAATATTGGAAGACTGCTATCATGTCTCCCCTGATCCTTCTCTTCACTAGACTAGCCGTGCCCAGTTCCTGCAACCATTTGTTGTATGTTTTAGTCTCCAGTCCCTTCATCATCCTGGTTGCTCTTCTCTGTACTTTTTCTAGAGTCTCAACATCTTTTTTATAGTGTGGTTTTATCTTTTTTTATCATGATGCCTTGTAATATCTTGACAAAGTACGATACAACAATGAAAATGCTACTCAATGGAAGTGTATAAATTGATCTCCATTTTGAGAACAGCAAGGCAGATGACTATAAAAAACAGGTGGGAAATTTGTTTAGGCCCTAAAAAGCAGTGGTCGCCAACCGGTGGGCCGCGGATCACTGGTGGTCGGCGAGAAAATTTTGGTGGTCTGCAGAGAAATGTCCCCCTCCCAAAGCACTCCCCTCAAAGCAATTAATCCAGGCTGCATGGGAACACAAGGCTGCGCCGCCTACATGGCCCACCCACCCACTGGCCCTCACCCTTTGGCCAAGTACAAACTTTACCTTGAGTAGAGCCACGCGAGCTGGAAATGGAAGGTAAGACCAACGGCGGGGGAGGGAAATCCACCCGGGTGGCTTGCTGACGTTGGTGGGAAAGTCGGTCCCATATTCCAGAGCTTCAGGAGTCACAAGACTGGCCCTTTGATCATCTCGGAGCAGCTCCTCCAGTCCATGGCAGGCCGGTGTACCTGGGTGGAGGAGCAGCTGCTCCGGGATGACCAAAGGGCCAGTCCTGTGACTCCTGCAGCTCTGGAATATGGGACCGACTTTCCCCACCAACGTCAGCAAGCCACCGCCAGTCAAAATTCATATTAGTGGTCTGTGGGGTTTAAAATTATGAGTTTGGTGGTCCCTGAAGTCCAAAAGGCTGGCGACCCCTGCTATAAAACACTTGGTGCAAACATGTCACTGAAAATTCACTTCTTACACTCGCATTTAGACTATTTCCCTTTGAACTGTGGGGCAGTTAGTGATAGAGTGAGATTCCACCAGGATATTGCAGGCATGGAGAAAACATACCAAGGGAAATGGAGTCTGTCCATGCTGGAATCTTCCCAGGGATGATCCTACTGTCAGGATTCTGGCAGTTACTCCAATTAAATCATGAGCCTCAAGCCACACTCCCAAAACTAAAGAGGATTTATTTGAAGCTACCATCCTATGTCCAGCACTAACCTGGGCGTAGCCAACTCTGAGATACGTAATTCACTATCATCCTTGATTCTGCTTTCCCCACCCCCACCCCTCTGGGTGTATCATCCAACGAAAAACATCCATAGCCAGGAGTCATCAATCATGCTCTCCAATTAGATTTTTGCACGGCAGGAGCTACAGTCATCTAATCAGTCTTTGAAGAAAATATGAATGGAATGTACTTTCGATTCCACACTGCCGCCTCCTCTTTGAAACCTCCTCCCCTTCTTTCTGTTGTCAGCTATAAAACGTGTATACAAAATGTTTTATGAGTTGACACCTGCTGCATTTCACAAGAGAAAAGCCAAAAAGCTCAGTTTAGATACCAAATAAAGATGGAAACCTTGTCGTTTAATCTGATGTTAGAGTTTGTCCATTTTTTCATGCAAAAAGCATGACGATGTTACACGGATAAATGAATGGAAAAGTTATGCTATCGGTATCAATAAAAAGATAAATTTATTGGTGTGGCACCATCTCATCACTATATCACATTTTGCAGAAAAGTTATGGAGCTTAATCGCACATCCCTCCATGTAATTTTTAATTATTTTGAAGCAATTTTAACCAGAAGCTGTATGTTAGAACCTGGAGCCAATTAATACTCAGAGTTTAATTTTCCTTTATTAGTGACCCAATTCTGGTAAAATTAATCTATTTTCATTTCTGAGGCTTTCTCCTTGTATATATACCAGTGTAACAGGGGATAGAGTTTATAGTCTGAATTAGCATCAACTGAGCAGGGGGTTGGACTAGAAGATTACTATTCTATTCTATTCTATTCTATTCTATTCTATTCTATTCTATTCTATTCTATTCTATTCTATTCTATTCCATTCCATTCTACTCCACTCCATATTCTATTCCTGTTCTGTTCTGTTCCATTCCATCCCATATTCTATTCCATTCTATATTCTATTATTTTTCTCCATTCCATTCTATATTCTATTCCATTCCATTCCATTCCACTCCACATTCTATTCTGTTCTGTTTTATTCCATTCCATTCCATTCCACGCTATATTCTATATTCCATTCCATTCTATATTCTATTCTATTCCATTCTATATCTATTCTATTTCATTCTATATTCTATTCTATTCCATTCTATATTCTATTCTACTCCATTCTATTCTTATTCTATTCCATTCTATTCCATATCCTACTCTATACTATTCCATTCTATATTCTATTACATTGCATTGCATTGCATTGCATTCTATATTCCATTCTATATTCTACTCCGTATTCTATTCTATTCCATTCTACATTCTATTCTATTCCATTCTATATTCTATTCTATTCCATTCCATTCCATTCTATATTCTATTCTGTTCTACTCCATTCTATTCTTATTCTACTCCATTCTATTCCATATTCCACTCTATTCTAATCTAATCCATTCTATATTCTATTACATTGCATTGCATTCCATTCCATTCTATATTCCATTCTGTTCTATTCCATTTTCTATGTTCTATGTTCTATATTCTATATTCCATATTCTATTTTAGGTGCTGGAACCGTGCACAGCAGTGGTGATGATCTCCCCAGAGGCTGAAGGATCCCTGGCAACCTCTGGATCTAACAGCCTCCTTTGTGGAGAAGCTGAACTGAAAGATGGTCAGGATCCCAGCTCAGCGGGTAGGTACTCCTGGTAGTAAAGGCAGGAGAGAGTGTTACATGTTGATTGGGTGCTGGAAGTGTACAATCAGTATTTACCCATATTGAATACAGGTAGCCCTTGACTTACAACAGTTCATTTAGTGACTGAAGTTACACTAATGCTGAAAAAAGTGACTTATGACCGTTATTCACACTTACGGCCGTTGCAGCATCACATGATCAAAGTTCAGACACTTGGCAACTGATTCACATTTATGACAGTTGCAGTGTCCTGGTGTGTGTGTGTGTGTGTGTGTGTGTGTGTGTCACGCGAACCCCTTTTGCGACCGTCTGATGAACAAAAGTCCATGGGGAAGCCAGGTTCACTAAACAACCGCGTGGCTAATTTAACCACGGCGGTGATTCGCTTAACAACGATGGCAAAAAAGGTTGTCAAAGGAGGCCAACCAAACTCACTTAACCAATTTTTCACTGAGCAAGATCAACGTTGCCCTCAGTGGTGGTCATAAGTTGAGGACTATCTGTATTGAATAGTTCGTTTAGTGACCGGTTACAATAGCGCTGAAAAAAGCGGCTTATGTCCTTCCAAAGAATAGTCAGGGTTGGTTTCCTTTAGGAATAAGCTAGTAGTATGGTAATAATAACCCCAATAATAAGCTAGTCATAGTTCAACCTAGGCCAGTGTTGACTAACCTTTTGGGGTTCCTGTGCCCAAAATTGCCAGCACCCAGAAGGCAATGCTCGCCCCCCCCATGCACCCTGCGCATGCGTGCACAATCCTCCCATGCTGCCCCCTTACCTGCACTGCACCTCCCAGCTGATTTTCGGCCCGTTTGAGGCCTTTTTTGGCCTCCCAGAGGCTTGAGGAAAGCTTTTGCACCCTTTGCAGGCCGAAAAATAGGCCCATTTCGTCACTTCCGGTATTTCCGAAAATACAGGAAGTGACGAAAAACGGGCCTATTTTTCGGCCTGCAAAGGCTTTCCTCAAGCCTCTGGGGGGCCGAAAAACAGCTGTGAGGTAACTTTGCCTGCAGGTCACATGCCGGCACAAATGGCCCTGTGGCACGCGCGCCATAGGTTCTCCATCACGGATCTAGGCCGTCTCTGTTGGAAACTAGGTGCTGGGAAGGATACAGCCCCCCCGCAACCTGATGTACCAGGATACAATTCCAGCCGTTGTTTCTTGTTCTTGGTCCAGTAGAGGAAGCTCAACATCTGGATGTTTATGCTGTTTCCACAGGTGACCCCGCGATAAGCAGGAATCCCCTAGGGGGAGCTTCACAGCCAGGGGATCCTGAGCTTCCCATGTTGTTTGGATCCTTAATGGGGCAACCAGGATCCCTCGAGGGAAGGGATGGGTTGGTGAAGACGAACCCACCGGAGCCGATCCAGAAAGGGGACGGAGCGAGGCTTTGCAGCGAAGGGGTCTACGAGACGGTGGTCCGTTTGGAGGAACACGGACACTGGTGCCTCGAATGCGGCGAAAGCTTTCAAGACGCTTTGCAGCTTCGTAATCACCAGAATTCCCATTCGGGTCGGAAACGTCCGAAGTGCCCAGAATGCGGGAAAAGTTTCCGGGACCTTTCACACGTTCTCCGGCATCAAACCGTCCACACGGGAGAGAAACCCTACGCCTGCTTCCAATGTGGGCAGAGTTTCACCCAGAAACCAGCACTTAACCGGCATCTGAGAAAACATTTGGAAAGCCAGAATGACTCAGGTACGATGAAGGCTGCCCTGCCGTTATCTCAAAGGGAATCTCATAGGGAATATTGGAGGGTGGCTGAGTCCTCGGCTTAAGACCACGACTGAGCAAGACGGTTGTTAATTGAGTTGTGCCAAGGTTGAGAAACACCGATCTAAGCTACATGAACAGAATATTGTGAGGCCTATATTTTTCAATAGAATAGAAATAGGAATGGAATGGAATGCAATGGAATGGAATAGAATAGAATAGAATAGAATAGAATAGAATAGAATAGAATAGAATAGAATAGAATAGAATAGAATAGAATTCTTTATTGGCCAAGTGTGACTGGACACACGAGAAATTT